TTTCTCGCTCTCTCTCTCTCTCTCTCTCTCTCTCTCTCTCGCTTTCTCGCTCTCTCTCTCTCTCTCTTTCTCTCTCTCTCTCTCTCTCTCTCTTTCGCTTTCTCGCTCTTTCCTTCTCTCTCTCTCGTAGCAGCAGCAGTCAGCTTACGCGATGATGACCTCGTTCTCTTACGACGGCGGCGTCTCCCCATGCTGTTATATACCGCCGACAAGCTTACTGCCAGCTAGAGAATTGCTAAAGCTAAAAGCTCGGCACACGCACGCGCTAGCGGGGTGACCATCGCAAACGTGGCAAAATTACTCGGCAGTATATGACTATCGATCAAACAAAATTACGAGACTGGGAACTGACAGCAACTACATGCTAATAGATGTGCATCATATCCATGCAGCGTTCATCAGATTGTATCGTTATCGTCACGCACTGTTATGCGGGAAGAATTTCAACTGGATTTTATGTATCCAAATGCGAGAAATTGATATACACACGTGCGAGCCGCAAGTAGAGGGATAGTGTAACTATTTTAGTAAATGGTTAAGGTAACAGTACCGTTAACTGAGGACGAGTAAATGTTTTGTAATGCATCGGAAGCTAGATTATTATTACGTAAAATCATTATTAAATCCAACAAAGTATATGTAAGAGCGCATAAACGCCGGCATGTGTTTTTCTGCTACACGGCAGGTGTTTTTCCGCTCATACGTACTGCAAAACACATTGCCGTCGCCACAGAGTAGCTGTGAAAGAACCAGCCGTTGCCGGATCTCTCTATAATAGCCATCCCATGCATGCAGTGTGGGTTTATTACCTATCTTCATACATCACACACCCCGGTAAACATTCCCAAATTGCCGAAACACGCGAAAGCAGACGACTTCAAGCTAGGCGCTTTACTAAATGCGGACGCACGCACATAGTTTATCCGTACGCAAAGAGTCATCTTCACCCGCATTGCAGCGACTAGTGTGGTTGTACGACCTTGTCTATAGTAGGATTCTATAATAAGAATCTATAGTAAGAAATCAGTTCAGAAATCTTCATGGTTTTTGGCATACCTAGCGCACACTTACTAGTGAATAGCTTCATTTATATATCTAATACATATTTATGAATGTATGTCTGTTTGTCTGTTCTCAATGCATATCAATAGGGAGCACTCTAGAAATGTCGAAAGACGTTCAATAGGGGTAACTTTTGATGCTGAATGTCATGGGTACATTGGAGTTGACCTCCGAGGTCATCTGAAGTCGCAGGAGAACAAAATGAAGCCAAATTTTTTGAAAACTTGGTGCCCTTGCAGCAGCATTAAATAAACGGGCCCCTGCAGCAGCATTAAATAAACGGGCCCCTGCAGCAGCATTAAATAAAAGGGCCCTTGCGGCAACAATGTCCAAACAAGATTCAGCTTGCACTGACTTGCTTTACTATTACTAAAGGTACAGTCGTAAATAGATAGATAGATAAATAGATAGATAAATAGATAGATAGATAGATAGATAGATAGATAGATAACTGGATACATAGATAGATAGATAGATAGATAGATAGATAGATAGATAGATAGATAGATAGATAGATAGATAGATAGATAGATAGATAGATAGATAGATTGAGAGAGAGAGAGAGAAAGAGCTCAAAAAGTAAGAATACCCGTTACATGTAAATAATTATATACGTATAAATGTATATAAGTTGGTGCATAAGATTCACGGAAACCAGCACCGGGTAATGAGGTATTGCTGAGTAATATCAGGAGTAGGGGCACTCAAAGGCACTCTGGGATTATTTAGCCTTGGTGATATGATCATCAAACCACGGCTACGAGCGCGGCTTTGGAACGCTAAAATGTGTTCGATGTGCACATTAGATGGCATTGCCCAAAATGGCATTTTTTGAATAGCACTTATATTACACGTGATGATGTAAGCTAAAACCCATGGTTTTGAAATTAACAGTTATTTTACGAAATTAGATGGCGTCAAGTCGAATTTACGAGTTAAGACAATAGTAGTTGTATCATCGCCGTGAAATCTCGCACGCATATCATCGATCACGCGTCTCTTAACCAGTATTTATCTCCATACGAGTAGAAATATAAACGAATCTACTGCAAATTAAGCGAGTAGTTCTATGATTAGTCAAGCTTCCATTTACGTAGTGAGCATTTCCTGAGATTGCTTCCTATAGTAGCCGGTTCGATTCGCCCTCTTCTGTGATGGGCGACCACTCTAGCATGGTATAGAACCCATCATGGTAAATGTCCATCTTTTTACCTCGCGTATAGACAATAAGAGTCAAATTCGAGCCAGTTATGCAGTGAAGCCCTGTTACGCCCGAATCAAACATGTTTGATAAAATCGGGCGATTATTTGAGTCGCGCGACTACAATCGCCTAGTGTGTTCGGGTCGGCGAATGAGTCGCCCGAATGTACAATTCATCAGCCAATCAAACGGTGCAATTTTCAATCACGTGACTATCAATCTAGTGTTTTATAGACTAGTGTCTATAGTGGCGCGAGTGTTTTAGTGTTGCAGCGGGAGAAAAATCGCCGATGAATCGCGCTGAAAATCGCCTAGTGTGTCCCAAGCTTAGACATGCCCGTGTCCATTGGAGGGGGGTTGCCACACGGGAATTTATACGATGCTCCACTAAACACTGCGCTATCACCTCTTACAGCGAGCGATCAGAATAGCCGATTGAACCACCAAAAGCACTATAGACACTCTAGAGATTTTGGCGATTTTTAACTCTTCCGTCT